GGGCTCCGTGATTGCCCTGGACCCCCACCCCCCCGCGCCCCCTGCGGCTCTAAAAGGGCCCAACTGCGCCCAGATGGAGACGGCGGGAGGGGCCCGAGGATGCCATCGGAGTCCACCCTGCCGAAATGCATTGCCCTCAGGCCCCAGCGGGCACCAACGAACCTCAAGATGCCTCCGACGCGCACCCCGCTAGAAAATCTTAGGGATCAGGGGGGCCGCAGAACGCTGCGGAGTGCGAGGGCAGACATCGATGCAACCGAGGGCGCGCCTTGAAACGCCTAACTTTCCCCATGATGATAACCAGGATCGAGAGCGAAGTGTGCCAAATGCCATTATATAGCATGGAGGGGAAGGCAAGGGCGACACAGTTCGGGATATCGTTGAAGACCCGCGCCAGATCGGACAGGGCACCACCTCCTGGAGCATTTGAGCTTGCACCTCAACGCTGATGCGACGCGCGGGTAGGGAGGCGGGGCACGCCGCAGGCATCGGGATATCAACCAACAGGCGAGCGACGACCGCTGCGGCACGTTGCAACTACCCCCCCCCCCCCCACACGTAGCCTCTGCGGCGGCTGCCGCGCGACAAGGCGACGACAACGACGGGGGGGGCAAGGCAGAGAGCGACGGCCATGGGGGGGGGCGAACACGAGGGCGAGGACGGCAATGAATCCAAGCGTGCTCAGAAAACCCAACGCGGCCCCAATGTACCTGTAAGACGGCCCGATACCACAAGATGCACGCGAGACTGCCGTTGCGGCCTGCGGGCGGCACCAATGCGCCGCGGTAAGGCAGAGCCACGCGCGCCCGCAACGGCGGAGCACAATACCTGCACGACGACCTCGTCCTCGCGCGGGAGCCGCACCAAGATGGCCCAACGTTGCCTCAACGGCTGCCCCGAGACGCCTCAAAGCCGCACCGAGTTGACCGAGAGCGCCTAGATGACCTAGAGATCCATCCAAGACGGCCCCATGCATATGCCAAGCGGCCCCGAACGGCTTCCAGACGCCTCAGAGATGCCCCCGCCCCACGGTTGGCCAAGGGGGCGTTACCAGAGAGCCCTAAACGCCTCAGGGTTTCCAAGATGGGCCCGAGGACGGAGAGGGTGAGGTTTCCCCTCCACGCGTGTTGCACGTCGCAACACTGCAATCAATCCCCGTGGCGGCATGTCTCGCTCGTGCCGCTCGCCACCTCTCACGTGACCACGACCGAGCGGAGGCCCTTGCGGAAAACGTCCGTCAGGATGGCGCCCAAGACGCCAGCAGGCACCACGTTGTGCGCGGTCATGGTCTTCTGCACGGCCACCAAGCTCGTGCGGATCTTCGTCGTCTCGTTGGGGTTCACGCCGTGCCACGCCTTGGCGACCCTCCCCTTGAACAGCAACTCCAAGGCCGCCTTCGCCGTCTTCGTGCAATCCTCCACCTCGCCCGCCACAGTGATGGCCGTGCCGTACTCCTTCCCCTTGTTCTCGAGCTCGTTGCAAGCCTCGCAGAGGGAGGGGTGCGAGGGCATGAGGGCGAGGGAGGGGCCAGTGGGAGGATGGAGGAGGAGAAGGAGGAGGGGCGGAGAAGGGCAAGGAGGGAGGTATAAAACGGAGTCGCATGGGGCGGATGGGAAAGGACAAATGTCGAATCTGGGCAAAGGGGGAATATCGATCATAGTGAGGACGGCGAGGGCGAGGAGAGCGACGGGGTGAGAATTGGGGAGGGGGGCAGGAGGCACGAGGAGGGGGGAAAGGAGGTGGAATCGGAAGCGGCGAGAGGGAGGACGAGGAGAAGATGTGGTGGGAAGCTGGGAAAAGGGAAACGGAGGATGGCGAAGTGAGGAGGTGGGGGGAGGAGTATCGGCCTTCACGAGGCCTTGGATCGCATTCTCCCAGTCGGCGAATTCGACGGACACGGTCGTCGTCGTGAACGCCGTCTTGAACTCCGTGGCGCCATCGACCTCGCTCTTGAACTGCACCACCTCCACTGCCTCGGTGAACGCCTTGACCGACTTCTTGATGTTGCCCGCGGTCTCCGTCAGCATCTCCAAATGCTTCGCCGTCAACTTGTCGCGGACCTCAACGTGCTTGGTGTACCACCCCGTGGCCGCCTGGTGCAGCTCGAAGAGGCCATCAGAGTCCTCCGACGGCACAGGGATCTTCTTGAACTCCTTCAGCGCGCGGCCAAAGATAGTCATCCTCTTGGCGAAATCTGACTGGCTTATGACTGCGTCAAGAATGCCCTCGGTGTTCCCCATCCTCGTGACCGCGTCGAGCAAGTCCGAGACCCGCTCGAGGACCGTTGATGCGCTGGATGCCCACTGCGCGCTCGTGGCGTGCACGCGCTGCTTCGCCTCCTTCGCCAAGGCCGCCAAGTTCTTCGCATCTGCGAGTATGGAATCCAAAGGCTTACGAATGATCGTCTCGATGATGCTCTTCGCGTCGTGCGTGATGGCGCCCTCGTCATCGCCATGCCCCCCCGCAGACTTGGGCAATTTTGACATGGTGTTGCGGAGGTCGTCAGCGCTGCAGGACCCGCTCTTGAACAGCTCGATGGAGGTGCTTGCCTTCTTCTGCGATGCCTTTGCCGTCAAGGCGGCCTTCGCCTGCGCGACGAGGTCCCTCGCGCGCTGCACGCGATCCTCAAGGGGGAGGACCCTGGCGAGCACCTGCGCGAGCTCAATGTACTTCTCGACGAGCGCCGTCTCAAGCGAGACCTCCTCGGGGGTAGAGCCGCTCGTCGGCATGGACCCAGCGTGGGCAGTGAACTTCTGCATGATGAGATCGGCCAACCTGGCGATGTGATCTTGGCCGATCTCCTTCTCGAAGTACTCGAGCTTCGTTGCAGCCTCTGCCAAAAGGTCGCAGGCATCCTGCGATGGCGCTTCCTGGATCGCCTCCACCGTCGCGGCGCACCTGGCCAGGTCGGGGAAGAAATGTTTGCAGATCTTCGCATTCTCTTTCAAGGTGTTCACCTTCTGCTGCCAGTAAAGGCTCGGGTTGGTAGCCCTCGCCACCACGCTCCAGATGTCCTGAGCGCCAGCCGTCCTCTGGGCCCTGACGAACAAGTCAATGTCGTCGAAGGCGTGCTGCCCCGTCGTCTCTGGGATCTTACTGAGACTCATCAAGTCGATCACGGCCAGGATGCGCTCGCAGTCGCTGAGGGCCTGCGCGCAAGCAGGGCCGATCTCGCACGTCTCGGCGTCCTCTGGCAGGCCTAAATACTTCGGCGCATTCCGAGCCACGTAGTAGATGGCTTCCTCTGCGTCGGATCCGTCCTGAAACCACTGAATGAGCGTGTTCACGAAGATGTCCGTCAAGAAGCAGCCCGCCTTCTCATGGTCGGCCATGGTGGATGCCCGAACCGTCGGGGCCGAAATGTCCAGGGTGACGTTGTCCCCGATGCGGTGCCACACCTGGGGGATGACGGCCGTCCGTATATGGTTTCCACGACGGTCAGTGATAACAGCCGCGTTGGCCGCGGTGGCTCCAGGACTCTAGGACGACCCGACAACCCCCCACGTGGACCGCCCTCCAAAGGGGCCTCCAGGAGAGCCCCTGTATGCCCAAATACGTCTTGCCGTCGCTGCTTGGGCCCATCCTGGGGTTCCTGAACGGCGGCAAAGACCAGGGAGACATCGGGCTGGGCCCCAAGAGGGTTCCAAGAGGAGCTCCGTGGGCGCCAATAAGGCCCAAATCACACAGCGGCATCCTGCCTCACCCTGTGTCTAGGCCCCTCGCGGGGCCCACTTGCATCTTATCGGAAATCCTCATAGGGTCGATTGCGGCACTTGGGGGAGTCCGAGGCAGCCCCCACATGGGAAGCGCCAAGAGGCCCACAAAGGCCCCAGGAGACGCCCAAGAGGATCCCCAGGGGGAACAAACACATGATGTATATTGACATCATGTTCTACTATGTTGCGGGCCCTCTCGGGCCACTTGGGCGGCCCATCTCGGATGCCCTATGGGGCGCCACTGGGACACCTGGGGAGCTCATGCCGTGCCTCTCGTGAGGCGCCCTAGAGGGCCCCACGAAAGCTCGAAGGAACACTGCCTAGCGCATAGCAGAGCGATTGGGATGGGTTGGGCATGGTAGGGCAGGTAAGTTAGCCAGAGAACAATGAAGTATGCAAGGTGTGACGCTAACAAGTGCAGTAGCAGTAGTTGCACGACAAGTTACATAGTATACCAATGGTCTCATATGCAAAAGCGGTAGTAGTAGTGCCCAGGATTACGATTATCGGTAGTAGTCACCGTTCATATGTTTCCAGCGTCGGTGCCATTCATCATGCAACATATTTGGGATCGGTGCTGGCGGACCGCTGCGATGACGGTTCGCGCTCGCGCCCTCACCGACCTCAGGAACGCCAGGGACGGCCCGCGAGACCCCCCAAGACGGTATTGGACGGCCCACTGCGCATACAAGATGGCCTCAGGACGGCACAAGAAAGCTACAATATAACCCAGAAGCCAACCAATGCGGCCCCAAGTGGGCCCGAATAAACGCCCGAAGCGGCCAGAGGGACCACCCGCGCGACACAGCAGTGCACATACAATGCCAAGACAGCCCCTAGAGACTCCAGAGACGGCTCCGAGGACGCCAAACGGGCCGACGGTGCCCTATGCCTTAAGACTGCAGGCCAAGAAGAACACGCCCCAAGATGCCCCACCCCCGAAAGCCTCGGGATCACCGCCACCCCCGCCCCGAGGCGGCCACCGTAACACGGCGGCGGCATCGCGCGGAAGCGCAGCTGAATAAACAAGCAATTCGAGGCAAGCTGAAGGAAGAGGGAGAGGCCAGATGGATAGGGGAGTGTAGGAGGGCGCTGGGTGAAATAGAGAAACTGGTATGTCGAATGGGGTAGGGGCGGGAACGGCAGGGAAGTTTGTGGTGGAGGGAGCGCGGAGCTGAGGAGAAGGAAGATAAGCGAAGAGGTCACTGTGATAGCATGCGATGGGAATGGGGGCAGGGAACACGAAGCAATATTTCCATGTGCCGTGGTTTGTCAGCCCCGCACCTGGAGGATCCTGCAGACCTCCTGGAGGGCGCCGTGCTGGCCCTCCGCCTTCCGAATGCTCTGCCACAGCTGAACAGTGTCGTAGACGATGAGGTTGAACTGGGTGAAGGTCGGCCAACTCTGGATGGACGGCTTGACTAATTCCAAGAGCTCTGCCTTCCGCTCGCGCTTCAACTCAGCGATGTTCGGCCCCTGAAGCTCGTAGCAGTTCCTGATGAGACTGATGTGCCGCGTAGCGTTGTCACGCTGGAGGGGCGGGGATTCCTTCGACTTCTCGATGATGGACAGCTGGTTGAGCTCCCTCTTGCACTCGGCCCCCAGAAGAACGTCTTCCAATGGCGACCTATCGATCCAATGCTTCGCAGTCCCCAGCGGGGCCGTGGAGAAGCACTGCGGCCTCTTGGGTGGGAGCTGTGCTTGCGGCATGCCAATCTCCACAGCAGGGCTCGACTCCATGTCATCGAAGTCTTCGCCAAGGTCGCCCCCAGGCTTGCCATCTTCGCCTTCACCCTCGGGCGTGGCCGCGTCCGTGATGGCCAAGAGCGACGTCGCCTTGCCGTCGCTGCCCGCGGCTTCAGCTGAGCTCGCTGCGCCACTGCCTTTGACAGGGGTCTCCTCGTTGGGCGCCTGCCTGCCCACGATCTCGTCGAAGGTGCTCAAGTAGCGAGTCAGCACCCCCACGCCAGTGGCGCCAATCACCTTCTTGACGAAACCCCTGAAGGCCAGCTCGACGTGTTCCTTGAACTTCACAGCCATGTCCTTCTTGGCCCTCCTCTTCGTCACGCTGGCCGATACCTTCGAGTAGACCTTCAGCAGTGGCCGAGGGCGGCCAGGGATCGGAAACGCGTACCGCACTTCAACCTTCCCCGTCAACGGCGACCGCTTCTTGACGGCTTTTGCGTTGACCGACTGTGGAGTTTTCTTTGCCTTCGACTCGAACTCCGTCTTCGTGAGGAGCTCGAACGACTCCTCGATGAGATACCCGACCTCCTCGCCAGACACCAGCTCCATTGGCAAGCCTATCTCTGGATCTTCGTCCACCTGCTCGGTGCCGTCGGCCTTGCCCAGGGCGCGCAGCAACCCCGACTGCTTTGCTGGCTCCGAAGTCGTCTCCTCGACGAAATCCCGAAAGTCGGTATCGGGCGCTTCCTCGCACTTAAAGTCGTGGCACGGCTGGCACATCCAGATGGCCTCGATTACCTCCTTGCCGCTGTCGTCCGCGGGGCTGACCACTGCGCATTGGACCTCCTGCTCCTGGGGCCGGAATGCCACCGCCCCCGCCCCCCGACCGACGACGCAAACGAAACGTTGTAAATGCAATGTTTGGTTGCTTGTATGGAGAGCAGAGGGCCGCGGGGGATCGCACAAACACGTTTGTGGCTGCGGGGAGAAAGCGCATGGGATGCGCGCGGGCGGGAGACGGGGTCGGGGCGCGAGGAGCCAGTTAAGACTCCTTGGTTGAGAGGGCGAGGGGGCTGCCCCAAGGAAAACTGCAATCCCACCAGCCCTTTAGGGCGTGAGTGGTCTAGCGTCTAGCGAGCTTGTTCTGCTAAACCCCCTTCTTCCTTCGGGGAGGGGGCCCCCCCATCCCCCTACCCTACCCCCTCACCCTGGACCTGGAGGGAGGGTTCCGCGAGCGGCCAGGGTGTCCAAGATGGCCCAAGATGGCTCCAAGAGGGTCTCAAAGAGCCCAAGATGGCCTCCGAGATCTTGTAAGATAGCCCAAGATGGTTCAAGATAGCATTCAACATACATCCAAGAGCTCTCAATACCGCCCCAGGACGGCCCCAAGTGCCTTTCGAGCCCTCCAAGGAACCCCTCAAGAGGCCAAAATCCTTCAAATTCCGTGCGTGTTTTTTCAGTGTTGTTTTGCATTGTCGCTTTTTCGCGTCCGATGGGCTCTTGAGGCTTCAAGATGGCTCCAAGATGGCCCGAGAGGGCCCCAAGAGGGGCCCAGGAGGGCCCCAAGACCGCGCCAAGAGCGCCCAAGACCGCCCCAAGATCGGCCCAAGAGGGCCCCAAGAGGTTCATTTTCGGGCCCCGACGGGGGTACTGACTTAGGGAACCCCCTCCTTCTTTGATCGATGGTCCCAAGAGGGCCTTCAACGCATCGAATATGGCATCCAGAGGGCCCCAAGAGCGCCCAAAGAGGGCTCCAGGAAACCACCAGGAGGGCCCAAGAGGCTTCAAGATGGCCCCAGGAGGGCTTCCAAGGCCTCCAAGAGGGCCCCAAGAGCGCCCCAATAGCCCAAGAAGAGAGCCCCAAGAGAGCAGCAAGAAGCCTGTAGAAGCCGCCAAGGTGGCCCCAAGAGGGCCCCGCGATGGCTCCAAGAAGCCTCCAAGACGCGACGCCTTCAGAGCAAAGGATCTGCAATGACCTTGGTGCTTGACTAGTGTCGTCGTCGTCGTCGTTGGTGTCGTCGTCGCCGTCGTATGTTTCGTCCTCGTCGTCGTGCGCCTATCCCTCACCATCTATCATAATCATTTTACTTATTCTCCCCCTCCTGCTCGTGCTCCGCTTCCCCCTCCTCATCGTCATCCTCTTCCTCTTCGTCCTCCCCGCCTGCTCCTCCCATCCATCCCCATCCGTTTTCTGCGTGCTCCGTCTCTCTTCTCTTCGCTCCGACTGCTCCTCAACGGCGGATGTGGATCACTGCTGGGACAGATGCTGTTACACATCCCTGATCGGGTCAATTCGCCTGGCGACTGTTTTTGGATGGGCTGGTGGGGATACGCGAAGCGAGAACAATTTACAACAACCGTCCTTGTTGGTGAGGTTGCAAGTAGCGCACCGACGCGTCGTAGCCCTCGATCTCTTATCCCGAGCAGGCTCCCACTCGATAACGAACTCTGGCTCCTGGATGGGCGCCTTGCCCTTGACCTTCTTGCTGCCCGTGCCACCACCCCCCTTCGAGACGGCCCTCTTGCGAACGGTACCCTCGGCGGCGGCCATCGCGATCGCAGCCGAGCCCTTCTCCCCAGACGCGATGGCTGGCCCAATGCACTGCCCCCCGACGCCTAACGGGAGTAAGAGTACAAGTAGGGGAGGGTACGAGTACGATTAGCAGTAGGACTAAGAGTCGGAGTAGGAGGAAGAGTAGCAATAGTGGTAGGAGTAGGAGAAGGAGCAGGAGTAAGAGTAGGGGTAAGAGCGCCAGTAAGAAGAGAGGACGAAGAAGAGAAGACGGGGGCTGAGTAGAGGAGGAGCGGCATGGGCATGGAGGACGGGGAGGGTTTGAACAAGAATTGGGCCAGGGATAACAGCAGTGGGCCAACCACCTGAGCGCATCCTCATGGGCGCAAGTCGACAGAAATGCCTCGAGCCTGACCCCTGACTGCTACGGAAGCCCAGGAGGATCGCACCAGCTCTCTGGGCGGAGCTGGCCCAGGCCGTTCCTCTTCCAACACCCCTTTTAACATTCCTGGATGGACCAGTCAGTAGCCGCCCGATTTAATGCCACTGGGGACCCCGAGAACCCTCCACCAGCTCCAATTGCACGGCCACCCCTGACACATAATGATCAAACTACATTCGGGCACTGCGCTGCCCAGCGCCAATCGAAATGCGAGCCATAGATCGGCATAGCATCGGCATATCGCAGAGCATTTGCATAGCATCGCGAAGACCCTGGCATGAAATCGTGCCCAGTCTCGGCCCGCGCACCTCCGAGCCCACCCCGCACTCCTTATCACTAAAGGGTTTTCCGAGCACCCCCGAGCACGTGCAAACAGGACAACGCCGAATGTTTTCCTGGCCGTGGGGCCGCTCCAAGAACCAGTCAAACGGCAAACGGGTTGGGCGCAACAGCGAACTACTGCATACTGCCGCGCACTGGAAGCAGGCCCTGGATGCTGTGCAAGATATCGCTGCACATGCCGAGGGCCCCTGCAAAGCGCACCAAGCTGAATTCAATCGTTGAACCTGTAACTGCAACGGCACTGCGCCATCGCTAGTGTATATAGAGATTACCATTGTCGCAAGCACTCCGCGCCAATGATGGTGACCAGGTGCACTGTGCGCTGGAGCACTGATGGTCCGTATCGCCGATGCCGATGCTCAGTCCGAGTCGCTCCCTTGCTTCTGGTCCTCCACCCCCCAAGTCTCCTCAATCTTGTACTCCGCGACGAACCTCTGACTGAAGGGGCCTCTGTTGACGCCAGCAGGGTCGGGCTCGAAGGGGGCCCCCATCCGCCTGAAGACACTGCGGATGGCCTCTGGCATCGTGTCCTCCTCGGACCAAGTATGCGTGACGATCTTCCTGCGCTTCTCGTACGACACATTGTTGGTGACGAGGTGAGGGCGGCGCTGTACTGGATCGGCGTCCACCAGCGCATCGTTGCCAGAGATGGCCAAGTCCTGCGGCTCCTGCGGCGCCCTCGGGATGACCACCCCGTTGAAGTCCTGCTGGGACAGCGGCAACTCTACTGCTGGGCCAGGCGGCCTGCTGTCCTCCAAGTAATCAGGCGGCGGATACTGTGGTGACCGCGGCCCAGGGGGCAGCTCTACCTGAGTCTCATCGCTGACAAGGATGACCACTGGCTGCGGCTCGCCGTTCGGCAGCTGAGGTGTCTCGGCGCTCCTCTCCTCGGACGCGGAGCTCGGCCTTGCTGGGCCGAAGCCGCTGTCCCCCGCCCAAAGGGAGTCTTGAGTCGCCATGGCGGCGCCCAAGTAGAAGCAATTCAACTCAACAGGTTACGGTTGTGGCAAGCGGAAAGTGCCACTGATGATAATGAAGCTTGCACCACAAGGGCAAATCACGGATAAGGCGCACGGGGGGGCAGGCATCATTGGAAACGGGTGACGGGGATAAGGGGGACGGGCAGAACGTAGCGGAGAGCCATGATACAGGGGGGGAGACGACGAGGCCGAATGCGCCGAGACACGAGTACGATGAGAACAATGGGGAAGACGACGAGGACAAATAGGGAGGGGGGAAGGCGATGAGGACGAGTAGGGCAAGACGATGAGGACGAGGAGGGCGATATAGAGTGGGAAGAAGATGAGGACGACGGGGAAGACGATGAGGACGATGATGACGAGTGCTTTCCGAAACCCCAGGCATGAACTTTACGGCTTTGGGAGCGGGGGGTCGCGCGTGCTACGTAGCCCCTGAGGCTCTGAAGCTATGGTTTTAGAACCAATGCAACGTATTGTACGCATGCATAGAATCGCGCGTGCATTTACTTTCACAAACAAAACCATACACCCATACCGCATGACCACAGCGCACTCCATACTGCGCGTGGCACACGCTGTATGGAGCAGCTGCGGTTTTACTGTAAACAGAACCACATTTACACATACACATACGTTTATCACTCTACAATGCTGCTTACACAAATACAAGCCTGGACCCCGTAGGCGTGCTCGGCGTCGCCTTGGATCTCGCGGCGGCGGTGCGCGTCGCCGCCAACGTCGCCGTCGTCTACTCCCCCCCTGGGGTTCCTCGTCGTCGTCGTCGCCGTCGCCGTCCATCTCGTCGCCGCCGTCGCCGTCCATCTGGTCGTTGTCGTCGTCGCCTTCGTCGTCGTCATCCCCCTCCCCCCCCCTCCGCATTCCCTCGCCGTCGTCGTCCACCGAGACTAGAACGGCCCCGTCAAAATAGCGCCATAAGTTGCGCACGTGGCCGCAGAGAACAAAACGACACTCCATTGGTTGCGCCGCAAGTTGCGCCCTCGGACGCCTGGAATACAGTCCCCCGCTTGGTTGCGCCCTCGGCCGCCGAGATTTGAATTCTCTTTCTGAATGCGCCAACAGTCACGCCCTCTGCCGCCGCAAACAGAACTGCGCCCTATTGGTTGCGCCGAAAATACTTTTGTGCACTCAGCTCAGGAATCAAAAACTGCCATCAATTGAACGCGGCAATGGTTGCACCCTCGGCGCACCATTGGTAATCCCCACATTAATTGCGCCATAGGTTGCGCCCTCTGCCGCCGAAACAAAACTGCACCCTATTGTTGGCGGCGTAGATTGCGCCCGCGTCCGCCGAATATGAAAATGCATTGTAATGGTGGCGACATCGGCTGCCGTGAGTAACGCTGCCCCATGGATTGCGCCCAGGTTGCGCCCTCTGCCGCCGAAAATAACACTGCATCCTTTTTGGTTGCGCTACACGTTGCGCCCCTTGCCGCCGAGCATAAAGCAGCGGCAAAGTTTGCAGAACCTCGCAGAATGGCAGAACGTCGCAGCATGCAGCAGAAAGGCAGAATAGCACGCTGAATGGGGGGAATAACGCAGAATGGCAGAATGGCGC